CACATTTTGTTTTTCGGAAGGTGGACCTTCATCAAAACCGGAACTAATCGAGCCGTTTGTGCCAGCCTGGGGAGAAAGGTATTTTAATAATGTAAATTATGTGAAAAATAATGCGTTTTTCGAACCACCAAGCATGAGAGCATGTTCTAGTACACCCCCAAAACAAAATCAAGACTTTGTAAAAGAGCATAATAGGACCCCTTTAAGACCTATTTAATCTGCATATAAAACATTAGAAATTAGATATTTGTTTAATTAATATTGTGTGTTTGACCTTTAAAACAAAACATATTTGTTGTTTGTCTCAATAAATTGGGTTAATTTAAAAATACAGTGGTTAAATAAAAAAAAAATTCTATTGCTCTTTGTTTTACAAATGTTATAAAAATGTCAATAATTATCGATACCGAACGATATGAAACATTATATCGTTGATACCTTTTTTTAGCTATATCGCCCAGCCCTAGTTATGACATTGTCTTAATGGTCTCTAAAGGTTGAATTAAGACAGAACAAAGCATTACGTTTTGTTTGGAAAGCTGAGATAATTCTAGCTTTGCGTTAATGAAAAAAGAGTGAAAAGTTAAACTGCTTTTATTAAATAGGATATCTGACATTTGGGACATGGGATGTCCTTACAAATAAACTTGGATCCATAAGATCAGTCTTTTTTAAGTATTCCATTGGAGAGATTTTTCTTCATTTGATTCAGTAACGTGTTTTAATTCATTACAGATTGGCTGGTGAACTGGAACACAGATCGTATGACTACACAAAGTACCACACCATGGATGAGGTGAGGTTATCCTCTGTATCCTCTGTACTAGCAATTCATATTGATTGATTGATTATTTTATTGACCTGGTAAATCTCTCCAAACAGATTTCAGCCTGGATGAATCAGATGGAAAGGGAAAACCCAGACGTTGTGTCCAGCATGATATATGGAAAAACTTATGAGGACAGGAACATTACATTACTAAAGGTACTACTTGTGTAGTGCAATACTTGTTATCATCATAAACATCTTCCCACTCGGTGGATTTCGTGTTTCAAGTTGGCCGTACAAGTTATTTCAACTTAAAGGGATAGTTCACCCAAAAATTTAAAATGTTAATGTTTATCTGCTTACCCCCAGGGCATCCAAGATGTAGGTGACTTTGTTTCTTCAGTAGAACACAAACAAAGATTTTTAACTCAAACCATTGCAGTCTGTCAGTCATATAATGGCAGTTAATGGGCTCCACGGTTTTGAGAGTAAAAAAAAACATACACAGACAAAACCAAATTAAACCCTGTGGCTCGTGACGATACATTGAGGTCTTAAGACACGAAACGATTGCTCAGGACAGTTGGACATTGTGGTGGATCAGAGGTAAAAATTATATAAATACAGTTCAGTTTCTTGCGCAGACCGATCGTTTCATGTCTTAAGACCTCAATGTATCGTCACGAGCCACAGGGTTTAATTTGGTTTTGTCTGTGTATGTTTTTTTTTACTCAAAATTAATTTGATGATTTAAAGTAAAGTAATGGAATAACATATGTTGCCATGACTTACTGATAATTTCATTTTTTACAATAAAACTGCAACTAAATTTAGATTACTAAAAGTTCTGTGGTGGTACCATGGTGCAGTTATAATATTTCAAGATACTTGGAATTTTACCATGATATTACTTTCTTGTTTGTTTGCATCTGATATGCAGATCGGCTTCGAAAGCACCACACCTAAGAAAGCCGTTTGGATGGACTGTGGGATTCATGCCAGGGAATGGATCGCTCCAGCTTTCTGCCAGCATTTTGTTAAAGAGGTGAGACTTCACTGCATCAAACTTAATATGATGTATTTAGTCATGATGACATACACCTGAAGTGTTAGTCCCAGGAAAATCACATCCATTTTATTACATGACAGGCCATTGGTTTTAATGTACTGCATTTGTCTGTAAATGCAATGCCCACTCTTTAGTTTTTTTGCTATGTTATGGTATGCTATTTTGAATAGATACTGTATGTGCAGAGCTCACAAATATTGATACTGCTATTATAATAGATGTAAAGCTCCTATTGTAGCGTGTTGACCCTGAGATTCATATATAAAATGTTATATTTAATCTGAATTAAATTAATTTAATCTAAAATGAACTGAACTGTTTGTTATGCTGAAAAAGATCCTGGGCTCCTACAAATCAGACTCGAAAGTGAACACGTTGTTTAAAAACCTGGACTTCTATATCACCCCAGTGCTAAACATGGACGGATATATTTATTCCTGGAAGGAATACACAGTGAGTTTCATCCTCTTAAGTATTCTATGTAACACACATTTGATAAAGGTAAAATATCTGCACATTTTACATGTTTAACAAATATATGTGATATGTTTTAAAGACTCGACTATGGAGGAAGTCCAGATCACCAGGGACTGGAGACTGCACATGTTTTGGCACTGATCTTAACCGCAACTTTTATGCTAACTGGGGGAGTAAGTAACATTTTTCTTTTCATTAGAGATTCGTTTTCAATTTCTCAATTTCAGCACATTCATGGGCTACATGTAAAGTATGTGTAAAAGCTAGTTAAGCTTTGTTATAGAGTTTGCAAAGGCTTACAGTACTTTTTTAAAGGCTTACAATTTTGTGCCATGCCATATGCACAAATGAATTAAAAACGGCAAAGTTGAATAGGGGTTGAATAATTGTGACATAGCTGTATTACATAAATAAATAAATAAACAAATAAATAACCCAGATGTATTACATTATTGACATTTCCACCTTTAATATGCTACTAAACCATTATAGATGCAATTTTTACATTTGCAAATTATTACAATATAATTAAAAATTAATTCAAATATCAGCTATATATATATAAGAGATATAAAGGGTTATAAACATGACTTAACAGATGACTTAACAGCACTCAGTGTACTATATTAATCTCGACTCTCCTACAATCCCACCCTCTACAGGTCGTAAATTGCAGGTGTGTTTAAGCTGGCAGAGATAAACCTAATGTTGTAGTAGTAAGCAAATAAAAAGCTACAAGGATAACCCCGACAAAACTCATATTCACATTTGCTGTGCTTCTGCAGAGTCAAGCATGATACAGCAGTTATCAAGAGCAGACATGCAATCAAGGCTAAAGGAGCTAATAAAACGATCATCTAGTCCATCTGTTTTTGTTCACTAGTGGTGGGGATCTCCAGGGACTGCTGTTCAGATATCTATAATGGACCGACTGCTCTGTCTGAGCCAGAGGCCAAAGCTGTCACTGACTTTTTGGGAGCATATCAAAATGAAATGCTCTGTTACCTCACCATCCACTCATACGGTCAGCTGATCCTCGTCCCCTACGGACACCCCAACATCTCAGCACCCAATTATGATGAACTGGTAAGAAGAAGAGCAAATGCTTTGGCATAAGTTAGGATTGGAAGCTTTCAAGCATACTAGTTTTGAATGAAATATGCACATCTGTCTATGTGTTTTCAGATGGAAGTAGGTCTTGCTGCAGCTAAAGCCATCACAGCAGTGCATGGGAAGAGCTACAAAGTGGGCACTCCACCTGATATACTGTGTGAGTACTTTAAACCAATGTACACTCTCATGAGCCTGAAGACAATCAGGTATATATATATATATATACACCTAAGTCATGATTGATCCTCATGAGTCAAAGAGCAATTGCTGACATTGGACATACAGTGAGCGACATCACGCATGTTTAAAAGGCGGACTCATTTGAGAAGGGAATGTTCTCAAGTTGACCTTTGCTTTAGTTTTGTTCCACCTCAGAACTCGTCACTGCATTTTCTTCACCTCTGTAAAACTCCAAAATCCTTTCCTTCAGCCATAACTGAATTCTGAAATATCTTGCCATTTTTCTTCAACACAGTCAACTCAGTTACATATCAGTTATCAGCAATATTAGACATATTTTAATTCATAGATATCTATCAGTATCGAGTATTTATCTAAGATACACCTAAATCATGATTGATCCTCATGAGTCAAAGAGCAATTGCTGACATTGGACATACAGTGAGCGACATCACACATGTTTAAAAGGCGGACTCATTTGAGAAGGGAATGTTCTCAAGTTGACCTTTGCTTTAGTTTTGTTCCACCTCAGAACTCGTCACTGCATTTTCTTCACCTCTGTAAAACTCAGTCAACTCAGTTACATATCAGTTATCAGCAATATTAGACATATTTTAATTCATAGATATCTATCAGTATCGAGTATTTATCTAAGGCTCAATTAAAGCTAAATATTAAAAACTTTTAACCTTTAGCAAATCTCAAAAGTAATGTCCATTTTTCATACTGTACGTGATGCCGAAATTTAAAATGATCATTTTTGTATTTTCATTTTATTTGATCAGTTTTTAAATTCGTATCGGACAGAATTTTACGTAGCAATGCGTTTCTAAAATGATAAAGTCTAAAACCTCTGGTGTATTGTCCAGAGATAGATAAACAAAAAATTAGCACAGCCCTAATCTTGTATATGATATTAAGTTTACTTGGTATAATTACAACAAAGCCCACCATTCAGATCTTTAGCAGCTCCAGGTGTTTCTGTAAGAAATAATGCATTTTTTATCAAATTAATGACAGTTAATCACTTTGAAACATTCTTCGCAGATGCAAATTCTGGCTCTTCACGTGATTTCGCGAGGCTCATAGGGATCCCATACTCCTTTACGTTTGAGTTACGAGATGAAGGGAACTATGGCTTCATTCTTCCCGAGGATCAAATCCAGCCCACATGTGAAGAAGCGTACCAGGGTGCAATGTCCATCATAAACTACGTCCATGATAAGAATTTCAAAAGTGCAGCGATTACAGTCACAGCCACACTGTGGACAACACTGACCGCCTTATACATCTCAAGCGCTAATGTGTTTTAGACCACTAGATCAAAATGGATCATGTGATTTTATTTTTCAAAAATTCTTGTTGTTTTCTTTTATGCTCAAACAAGAACCGTGTAACAAAAACCTCCTGGTTTGATATTTTACTGTCTAATGCAATACAATTCAGACACATGTAAGTGTGAATTATGTGTCCATTAAAAAAAATACAAATTGATTTAAGAAACAACTTGTAACCAACTGTCTTCCAAAAACAAGAAACATCAGGAAAAGATGGGGGAAATCATAAGCAGTTTATTATAATTATTATTTTAATATATTTATGAATACAATTTAATAAACGGACTATTTGTTAATTATTATTAATTCATTTTAATCAAATTAAATGTGATAAAAAACATAGATATTTGTATTATTGTTACTATTATTATGGTTTATTAAATTAATAAACAGATACTTAAATTGAATTAATTGTTATTGGTTACTTATTCTTAATTTATTAATTTTAATAAGAAATATCATGAAATGTCATATTAGTGAGAATCGTGATTAATGATTTTCTGTGATTTGTAACATTGATTGCAGAGCTCCATTGGGCCAGCTGATGGCAGTATATACACAGATATCATTGAAGATGTTTGCAAGCCTCTATAAACTGCTGTCAACATCAGCAACCACAGATAAGATAAAACAATATTGGTATAGTAAGTAAAGAAAAAGGGACACAGATCACTGCTCGTGGGAAAGATCAGTCAACCCTTCCTCAACTGCATAGAAAATGGGGGATAAGATCTCCCTCGTGTCAGGCTTCTCCTACTGTACACACTAAGACCTGAAGCCCTCCTCTATTAATCACTGACTGACTGCATGACAAAGAAAACAGAGATATGCCCTGTTTGTCAAATTAACAATTCCCAGAGATGGTAGACGCTGGCTGAGTATATACCTCTCTTCATTTCAACCAAAGGATTGAAACAAAGGTTAGGGGTCACCACTTAATATGTTTAATTAATCATTTTTTTTCTTTCAATTCTAGCTACTGGAATGGAATACTAGTGCACAGTGTACTGAATACTGTACAGTATATATACTGCCTATATGTGAAACAGTATGCAGTTTGTAGTATGCTATTGTTTTGTTGTCACATTTTGCCAGTGTTTTTCAGTTATTATTTTGCATATAAATAGTTCAAATCCAATTTAGTGGGGAAAAAATGCATAATGTGCACAGCATATGCGACATACAAACTTAGTATGGTTAGTATAGTAGGATGCCATTACAAACAAACAGATGAATTACTGTATGCTGTAAAGGAAAACAAGGGGAAAAAAGAATGTAAATTGGGTTTAAAAGCAAAGTTGTGGTGGTTTGTGATATTGTGATAGAAACACAATTTAATTAAATAGTAAGAAATGATTTACATTATTTTATATAAAAAAACTCTACATTTATTTAACAATCAAAATATTAAAGATATTAAAATAGTTTTCAAATACAAAAACATAAAAATTAATAAAGATTTAAAAAATATATATTTAAAATGCTCATATTCAAAAACATCGAAATTGTAAAGACAAAAAATAAATAAAAAATGTCAAAAATCTAAATAATAACTAAAATAATATATTTATAATATATAAATGTAGAAATTTAAAATAACAATTATTATTCTACCAATCATTATATGTATTAAACTCTAAAAAAAATTGTCACTTGTAAATTACAGAATTTGGGAACTGGTCATTTGTCAGTTATTGGCCATGACATGAAAATAATTTTCAGCTTATCAGTTTCAGACAGAATTGTAATATTGGTGCATCTCTAAAATTATAAAGTCTAGGACGGCTGCTTTATCGTCCACTGATATATAAATGAAAAAAAAATGACTAGCATAGCCCTAATACTGTATATAATATGTGTAAATATTAAGAAATTGCTACATTTTAAAATGCAAAAAAAAAATCCATTCAAATTAATAAAGAATAAACACTATTTAAAATGTATTTAATATAACAAGACTAAAAATATAAAATATTAAAGAAAAAAGTCAATAAAATCAAAACACTGAATGCTTAAAATATATGTACAAATATACATAAAATAAAATAAAAATATTATGATAATCACTGTATGTATTAAACAAAAATATAACTAAACTAGTTGCAGTTTCAAGAGATTCTTCAAGTAAATCATTTATATCATAGAGTTTCAGCTGACAAGAAAGCCTGCGAACCCGTGATCTCATGAAGCAGACTTTCAACCTTTACCCGCAACTATTGAACCATGGTACCACTTCACTCTCATGAACTCGAACTCCCAAAACAAGTCATGCCATTGGTCCATCATGAGAAATCATTCCCTCTCATAGACCTCTCAATCTCCATTCCTGCTCTATGGTGGCCCCATATGAGAAAGACAATCTCTGTTTGGAGCAGCAATGCTGGTGAATAATGTGCATGAGCGTTACAGTACCAACAACGGCCATCCATCATAGCTGTGTGCTGTGACATGAAGGTAATACGATCGCCTTCTGGGCTTCAGCCAGATCCGTGAAGAGGACGTCTGGAGTGGTGAAAATAGAAGTCTGGAGATAGACGCACAGCTGGGCTTGAGTTGTTTTACTTCACTGATCGTTCAAGGGCTGTAGAAAGCATTGGTTTGTTTATGATTATGGCTTCAGTGTTTATTTTCTGTCGGTCGGGTTTGTGCCGTACGTAAATGTGCAACATTAAGACGTATTCATTAGTCAACGTCAAAACATTCAGTACACGCCATTTGTCATGATGCATCTACTGATCATAAGAAGATCCTCTGTAACTAAACCTCTTTATTACCTCATATGAGAGCATCCTCTTCAAATAACCCCCCGGAGGAACGCATTATTGCTCAAAAGTTGCTCTTTTATGTTTCAGGAGACTTAATGGAGATCTTACGTTTTATGTTTTTATGGTATGGTCTCAGACGTCACTCCCACATTTTTATTTTTTTTTAGGAAACAGACACAAATTAGAAAATCACTGACATGCAGCAAAAGTACGTATAAAAATGTACAATTATAATTATTTACAATACTGTTCAAAAGTTTGGGGTCAGTATGATTTTTTAATGTTTATGAAAGAAGCCTCTTATGCTCACAAACACTGCGTTCATTTGATTAAAAATACAGTAATATTGTGAAATATTATTATAATATTGTATACAGTATTGTATAGAATACTGTTTTATATTGCAATGCATTTTAAAATTGATTTATAAAATGTATAAACTTAATTTTCATTTATTCCTGTGATGGTTAAGCTGAATTTTCAACATCATTACTCCAGTCTTCAGTGTCACATGATCCTTCAGAAATCATTCTAATATGCTGATTTGCTGCTCAAGAAACAAACATTTCTTATTATATTAGTATCAATGTTGAAAACAGTTAAGCTGCTTAATAGTTTTGTGTGAACCATGATTCTTTGATAAATAGAAAATGTATTTGAATTTAAAATCTTGTGCAACAGTATAGTCTTTATTAAGTGCATATTTGCTGAAAAAAAGTATTAATTTCTTTCAAAATAAAATCTTACTGACCTCAAACTTAGATGGTAGTGAATATTATTTAATTAAAAAATATTAATAGAATTATAAAATTAATGTGGACAGCATAGCTCAGATATTTTCATGAGAACTTTAAGAGAAATGTTGGAGATAATATTAAAATGACTTGATTTCCAACTTCAGTGTATATATATATATATATTTATTTATTTTTATTTTTTTAATTAATTAATTAATTAATGTATTTTTTCATGCAAAAAAAATCCATCTCCATTTACTCTCAATTTAATCTCTTTGCTGTTTAGGAGAAACAAGTGAGGGTTTTTCTCCATTGTTCCTTCTGCTTTTGCTCCTTCCACCTCTCAGTTTTTCCAGCCTCCTACATTACAATACATATTTATTAAATTACATTTTTCTTTCAGAATATCATCCCTCTTTGATGCATGCGTTTTGTTTTTCCAATCAACGTATTGGACAACAAGTGCAAACACGTTTTGATGTTGGACTACTAGGTCTTGCACGAAACCTTTATGAAATGCTAATATAGCATATCATACAGTATATGATGCCTTATTATTGCAGTGCAACTCTTCGGTGCTGCCCACGTGCCATACACTCATCACCTCGACTAATGGGACTGTGACGGCCCTGCCGCCCACCTCTGTTTCCATGACAACTGCCACCAAGACTGCTTTAACCAGATTTGAGGCGTGTTTCTGCCACCCTGAAACATTCTGCTTTCTGTCATGTTCTCCCGAAGATACTTTTGGCTCACCACTTTGTCAGATGATGGGGTCTATGATCAGCCACCCGCTTATTCGGTTTGATTCCCCAAGATCCTTGTTAGCAGCTGATATAATGGCTGTGGCTCACGCTCACTGTACGGCAACCTGTAGGAAGCCATGTGCCCACCCAGAGGAAAAAAAAAAATCACAAATTAGATCTTTATGATATTACATCTATTTCTCCAATAAGACTATAGGGAAAGCAAATGGACATTGTCAGTGAAAGTCAAATCAAATTAGAGCCTGTTGCTTTCTAAGTACATCTTATAGTGAATAATGAATTGTTCCAAGCCATTCCAAAAAAAAGTAGGGGATGGGTGAGAACAGTAAAAGAAAAGAAAAAAAAAAACGTAAATTTTTGTTCTTATTTTACATGCTACATTATAGAAGTAAAATGGGGTGCGAGCATTATATTGTTTTGTGATTCTCCGATGAAAGTAATTGCCTGTTCTTTATTTATGCTTATTTTCAAAATTAAAGTCTAAATATAAAAACATATTTAATTTTAAAATAATATATTACTTATAAAATAAATATTAATTATTATATATAAGTAACATGAATATTAAATAGTAATAGGCCTATAATTAAAATATATTGTAATACATTTAATAAATTACATTAATTTATTTTTAATAAAAATGTCAACTGAAACTCAACAAGTGACTGGAGATTTTATATATGTCTACTAAATAATAGCAAGCAAATCATTATTAATGATAGATAGTTAGAACAGTTATCTATCACATTTTAAGAGAAATATTAGAGACAAAGATGTTACTTAGTCATAAATGAAATATAATTCAGAAATCGTGAA